TATACCCGGCGTATAACGCGCACCCTTAGTTTTCGATCTTATTTTTTGTGTTAAAAGTGCGTGTTATACGCCGGATTTTACGGTAAATGAAATTAACCCTTTTAAAGTCATACTGGTTGGAATATATCCTAAGTTTACTCATAGAGGATGTTAGGTATATTTTCGGGGTCAGAAATTCCTCATGCAATACACCCCCCGCCGCCAAAAAACATGAAAAGGATAGTCTCAAGATAAATATGTTTTGTGCAGTGAGTTTCTCGAATGTTCTCGGCCCAGTTTTTTCACTGAAAAAAACTGTTACTGGAATTATTTACATGGACATGCTACAGAACTTTCCAATGCCAATCATCAAAGAAAAAATGCTAGGAGTTTACATTTTTCATCAGGATGGCGCGCCTTATCACTAACACAACGATGTTATATCTTACCTCAATGTTGAGGTACCAGTTTGGCAGGCACAAACGAAGATCTTTAAGTAAAGTTTAGATACGAATGTCAGCAATATTGGCTGTAAAAAGATGAACCTGTTATTTGTCCCGAATTTTGGAATATCGTCAGAAGTTTTTAATTGCTTTTCCTAGTGAGAAGGAGTTTCAGCGCAGGGTTGCAAATCTCTAAAACAAAAGAAAAAGAAAGAAAAAACTGGTCACTACCAAGAGCGAATATTTAAGATTAAACTTGAGGAATGAGATACTAATATTGAAAATTTGTTATTGTAGCACCTGATTCTTCCCTTCCATTAAGAGCTTTATTTTTTGTTTAGTTATTTTATGTATTAATTAAATTTTAATTTAATTAATTAACATGTGATTCTTAAATTTTAAGCACTATTTCATGACAGTTAGAAATTTAATTCTTTTAAAGTAAGTAGCAGTACCAGCAGCCAAAAAGACATTTAAGTTGATAAATTTGAAAAATTTAATGTTAGGTAAGCTAAGTTAACCCCAAACCGAAAAACATGGCGAGGGGTCGAAGAGACAAAGTCTAGTGCCTCCAAAGGACCACCGTGTTAGGCAGTGGCGTAACGGAGAATATTTGGGCCCCCCTGCAAAAAGTCAGGTTTTGGGCCCTACATTGAATTTTACAAAAGGTAGGCACTTGCGTCAGTCAGGCTTTGGGCCCCTTAGAACCCTGGGCCCCCCGCGATGCGGGGGTGTGCGTTACGCCACTGGTGTTAGGGGTTGATGCACATTAAATCTATCGAAATTCAAATTCTCTTTGTAGCACTGTGGTAGTTTGGTGAATGAGGTACCAACTCAGGTGCCGTCCTCGTCACTTGACCGAGGTTCAAAATTATGAAGTCTGTCGCCAATTGCCCTTGTGTTACTTTATAGTGCGGCATTTTGGCTGACTTTGCCAAGTATACAAGAATATGAACTAAACGCGGAACAAATTTTTCAGACAGATAAATGTCTCGATTTTAATGAAAATTTGCAACTGGTAATTCATATATTTGTTTCCAATATGGCTTTTTTAAATTTTAAAAGTATTCCATAAAATATTTATTTTCTTTCATTTTAACACATAAAGGGATACATCATTTAGTATTGTAGTATAGCTGAACTGGGAGAGAAAAAAATGCGAAACATATTTTATACCTGAAAGAAATTGATCAACTCAGATAAAAACGAATAGTATGATAAAATATAATATTCTTTACAACAGTGATTCTCAACCACTGTTCCGCGGCACTTTTGTATGCCGCCAAATTCTTGAAGAATGCCGCCATTTTTTTAAATTATTAATTATACTTTTGGGAAAAAATTAATTTCGGAACCGAATTATTCAGCCATTTTAAATAAATAAATAAAACTAAGGGTGTTCGTGATATATTTAACTTATCCTTTCGTGGGTAGATGGGTAAAAAAAATTGATTGGGTTCGTAATCCATTTATGATAACGGATACATCTGTATATGAATTACCTTTGAATGAAGAGGAAGAACTAATGTCGCTCTGTAATAATCGAGATTTAGATTCAAAACATTGGAAAGAGTCAATTAATTGTATTAAAATATCTTATAATTGCCAAAAAAGCTTTCAAAATATTGTTACAATTTTCTACACCTCATTTGAGTGAATTCAAATTTTCAGTAATAACAAATATTTTTTAAAAAAACGAGAAATTTAAATGTAGATGACAAAGTGAGAGTGGCATTATATCGTTTTTACGACCCAATGTAAACTAAATTATCAAATATCATCGAGCTCAAATTTTCCATTAAATGTATTCAGTAATTACGTACTATCGCAACAATCGCCAACTCTATTAATGACTCGCCAAGTTGGCCGATTCTTATGTGTTGTACGCGCTGAATTGACAACCAGGTGCTTCATTGCATATAATGTCGACAATAGGTTGCGATAATAAGTAAGTACCATGTATTCTTATAATTAATTTGTAATCAGTTACTCAATAAACATTTTGTTGTCTCTGTCGTAGATAGTTTATTTATAACATTGAAAATTACTATCATAAACTATTTTACATAGTGTATTATATACAGATAAGTAAAATTCTCTTAAACTTTTTTAAAATTTCTAATGCGCTGCGGATTGGTGGGTTACCATTGCAGACCCCTAGTGCATTCCCCGGAAGCTGGTATCTCTTTTTCATTTTGGCTTAAATTGCAAGTAATTTAGCAATTTTTTAAAAATTGCATCCAGCTTTAATAATGTGTTTTAATTATAAGTAGTAGAATTTTCTAAACTCATGATGGTGCGTGCTTTCCGTTGAATTCGAAGTTGGAGTTAGATACAGTTTATAAAATTTGATGATTGGATAAGGATGTCCAAGTAAAAAGATTCTTCAAAAAGTTTTCAAAGTAAAAAAATTATGTGCATTTTATTTGTTTATCTGCGTTATTGTTGTTAGGCAAATATATATTTTTAAATTAGTTTCTGTGTGAAAAGCAACAGAGTTGGCAACAGAAAGATGATGTATGAACTGATTGGTTGGGAAAACGTGATTACATTTTTTATGTGACAAACGTCACGTCGTAAATTTATCATGACGTCACCTAAACTTAGCGTTTAGGTGAGATCTTATTGAAAATAACATTAAATTAATATTCTAGTTTATTATTAGTATTATTTCTATTAATTATAGCTAAAGTAGACCGCTTCTGTTCAAGCTAATTTTTTAATTTCTCTCTCTAATCTCTTATTCTTTTAGTTGCCGTGACTTGTATTTTTGATATTTAATTGAAGACTCTTCGCTTACTCAAAGCTGTATATTGACAAATTTAGTCATTACTTCCGGGAGTTTCTGAATTGTTTTATACTTTCGTATGCTTTCTTTTTAGTCAAATTAAAGAAAACAGCTCCAATGTTCTTTCTTCCAATATTATCCTAGTAATTTTTTTTTCTTTAGAGAAAATTAAATACAAATTTTTCGTTGTTTTTGAAACAAAATTGAACAAACTCCATCTTGAACAAGGAAAAAGTCGTGTATGTTTTATCAATTGTGGGTATAAAAGAATTAAGCTTAAGTCTTTTTAATTTTCAAACAACCCTAGTCTTACAGAAGAATTTGAGTTATTGATGACAAAAATGTTTTTAGTGAAATAATCATATAAGTACATGAAAGCATATGCAAAGAGAGCGTGCAGATCAAATAATAAATACTCTGTTCCTTATTTTTGAAACTACGCGAGGACTAATAATGGTGAAGAATTATGTCTTTGCGCTTAATGTTCGAAAGCGGACCAAAAATTTAAATGCATTTGCTGATTAGGAAAATACCCCAATGTAAACAACACCTATGTACGTTTACCAAACTTCGTTCATAAAATTTTTAAATATTTTATAAATACATCATTTTTTTACTCCAACTAGCTCTAAGGAAAAGGGACTTACTGTTAAAGCGATGCTTAATAGTACATTTAAATATCTCTTTAACATTTTAAAAAGGAAACAAGATATGGAATATATTCTTTGTAGAAGAAAATCGATTTATTGAGAGATGAGCTGTACACATAAAAATGTGCTGCTATCTAAAGGATAGTGACACAACAGTAATTTTTGAGTGAAAAATGTTTATATATCTCATGTTCTTTTCTTCTGCACTTGGTAAAGACAACTTTTATTAATATCCCCCCCATTCCCCAAAGAGGAACAAAAAGATTACCAAATCATGTGCAACTCTGCGGTCATAAATTTGTCCTATCTTCAACTGGACAGGTCGCTGCTTATGAGGATTAGACAAAGAAGATATACATTTAAAAGCTTAAGGGATTAGAGGATCGGTATCACTCATAAGCTATTTTCATACCTTGCGGTCGGAGAGCATTCTTAACATGTCTTTGGAAAAAGAAAAAGAAAGATAGAACGTCCTTTAGAGTGAAGGAAACCACGTGTCGAGCAGTTTCTTTATTCAGGAAGCAACCCACTTCTCTCACTGAATGAAGTTTGGCTTCCGTTTCAAACCACATTAGTGTAAAAAAGTGGGGACTCCATTCAAAAAGTTGTGCCTGGAGTACTTGGCTTGGTCTACCGTAGCGTGCGTTGGTGTGTACGTTTTTTTCTTTTCTGGAACTTTTTTTTTGGCCGTACGGATATTGGAGGCTCTGTTACAACAGAAGTAAAATTTATTTTAGTTTGTCTGTTTTAAATATATACCTCTTCCGTTGTGGTTTTAGAAAGCATCCCAAAAATTTCTCGTGTGGAATTTTTAAAAATATGTTATATAAATTATTATTTACAGCGAATTCAATTCTTCCTACAATTAGCTCACTCTCTCCCTATATATATATATATATATATATATATATATATATATATATATATATATATCTTGTTCAAATTTTCAATCGTTAATAAAATATATTTTCTTTTCATCCATTCCAGTTCAAATACACTTTTTTAAAAACTTTTAGGGGATGACACTTGATATTAAACAGTTTTTCAAATATTAATTCATTAATTAAATTAAAAAATGAATAAATAATAACAAAAAATAGTAATAAAACAGCATATATAGAAAGTAAAATCGTTTGCTGTGTCCCGGAAGCGCAATGGACAGCGCGTTGAACTTCTAATCCAAAGGTCGTGGGTTCGAATATCACCTGGGATGGCCTAATTTCTGTGAATGATTTCTTTTTCGCATTTTATTAAAATAATTAAAATTAAATTAATAAATAAATAGTAACAAACAAACAAAATAGTCCAACACCCTATATAGAAAGGAAAATCACTTTCTATTTTGCCACTTAATTTTGTGTTTCGGTCATGTGTATATACATATTTATATTAATTGTAATTATTTAATAAAAAGTAACTAAAATAAAATTTTCTTTATTGACCTAAATAGGAATTGACTTAACTTTTTAACTAATTATCCTAAAACCGGCTTTTACCCATACATATATCGTTTCTAGAAATTGTGTTATTTTAACTGAGATATGCAAAAATATAAAATGTGCTATATCTTCATTACATTCAATAATTATTTATAACTTCAAATTATATGTGTTTCAAAACTTTTTTTCTCATTTTGAAAATAATAATAGCATATAATTTAAATCGCTTACATTTTAGAATTATTCATACGTATTCATTTCCATGATCTATACAAAATTAATTGTGTGCAGGAAATTTTAAACATTTTCGAAAAAAAATCTTAAAGCTTTTATTTATACAGTTTATTGTTCGAAAAAAGTAAAATATTTTTTAGAACGTATTTGATGCTATTACAAGTGTATACGTTTAAAAAACTTTTTTAGAATTTTAGATTAGTATTATATATCTCTATCAAAAACACATATTTTACATAAATTCAGCATTGTCAGAATTTATGATTGTTTATTTCTTGCAAAGTATGTGCAAGGGTTATGACTAGAGCAGCATTTGAAACCCTTTCATCCCTCACAGTAATTGCCCCCTATCCAAAAGCTGTCCCTCCATCTTTTTATTTATTTTTTGGGGGAAGGGAAGGTTTTGTAGTGAAAAATGAAATAAAACGTTGATTAAAATAAAATCTAAGAAATTGTAATCTGAGAAAGAAAGTACATTTTATGATAATAATCTGAGCAAATTTAATCATGACAATTAATTGTTTTGCATAAGTGTTTCAAGGATTAACGTAAGAAAATATATGTACATTTCTTCAGCTTTTTCTTACTATCTATTTCTGCCCTATTCAAAGCTTTAAACCAAGCCAATAATTATATGCCACGATCAAAGACAAGATCGAACCTACATTGGTACCCTATTCTGCACATGTACGTCGTGTTAATGTGAAGACAGAGTTACAATATACAGTCGAACCTCATATAACGAGCCTCTATATTGCGAATTTTTCTATATAGCGAACTTTTTTCTGGAACCTTGAGCATTTCACGATTTTCTTTGTAAAATAACCTCTCTGTAGCGAAGTGCATTTCCTATATAACAAACTTTTTCTTTAATGATTCAATTTTTTTTTCTCCCTATTTTTAAAGTATTTCTCTGAACATTGCAAGTTACTCTCTCTTTTAACACATTTTATGGGGGTCATCAATATTGAACTGGTTTTATTAAATCCTAACTCTCCGAGAGCAATAGAATTCTGGACCTTTAACCCCCGTTGTCCAGTTCACTAGAAACATCTTCGATATTCCCTTTCACACTCAGTGGAGTTGTCCCATGTCCCTCTGTTCTAGTTACAAAATAATGTATGTTTAATATTACTTGAATGCTGTAAATTAGAAAATGTCTTTAAAATTCATTAATTTTAATATAAAATTATTTTCTGAATGTGGAAAATAAAGTGTATTCTTCGACGTTCTTTTTTCTTGTTTTCCTTGTAGTTTTTCTTTCTTTTTCTAGATAGGTAAGATAATAAAATAAACATATATTAATTTATTAATTTTAAAAAGGTGTGAATAATTACTTTTTTAATATATAGTGTTTATGAATTTAAAATATCTGTTTTATGTGGTTTATAAAGTATATTAAAAGGTGAACCTCTGTACAACGAATTTTCCATTTTATGAACTTTTTTCCGGGATTTAGCGACTTCGCTATATAGAGGTCCGACTGTATATTTAAAACGCTTCATCTCCTGTTTCTTTTGGCAATCCTTTTTAAGAATAACAAAATTAGAATTCAGTTTCCATCAAAAGCGTGTTTGATACTCTATAAATCAGTCTATGGCTGCCCTTATAGTATTTACTGGATTAAAGCAAAAATGCATGCAAAGTTAAGGTGATATTTAAAAATTTCCAAATTTATATTTTGCATGCTCTAAAAAATGTTAATTGCTATAAAAGATTTTGAGATTATTCCTATTTCTAAAGAAAATCGGCTTTACCTCAAATGGTCTGGTTATGCAAGATTTATAAGAAAGGATAGACTTGATTTTTTTTTTTTTTTTTTACTCTTTGAAGTAATACAAAACTGTTGCCATTTTTAAATAAAGCGATTGCAAGTTATTAAAAACATGGAAACCATATTTCTGACAAATATTTTCGTAATTAATGTAAGTTTTGTACAAAAATATGAAATTAGAACAATAGCAAAAAAAATTCTTTTATTTAGAGCATCACAATTGTTGACGTAATTTATAAAAATGTTTATAAAAACCGTTGCTAAGCAACAAATGCAAACCTTTGCTTTTCATCGAAAGTTCTATCGGTTAATTTGGGACAGCACATGTAATCTGACTGGTGAGTTTTCAAAGAAAAACGCGTTGGTGTTACATATATATTGAGAGCAAAGATGTCAAACCATTTTCAAAGTAATGTTGATAAGAAACAGTTTGAGATGAAATGAGCTAATATTTTATTCCCATCGCTTTTCTCAAAACGGTGTTCCAACTGGCTGTTAGAGATCGAGTTTGTAGACGAGATATTACATAATAAATATATTTATAAGGTAAGAGTTTTTATGTTTTGTTTCCAGAATTTCCATTTTTGTTAATGTTGATTTTCAAGTGAAATACTTGAATGAATATTTATTCTAAATTTTTATAAGCAACTAAAGTTGAGTTATAATTTAATTAACATGATTGCTTCAATTTTAATGTATAAATCTGTTAATGTAAAATTGAAGGAAAAAATTAATTTAAAGGGAAATAAATGATTTTATGAAATGCGGTTCTAGTGTAGTATAGGGGGGCACTTGGCGCAGTCCTTTATTTTGGTGACTAAAAGGGGTCGCCAAGGTACTTTTTTCGGTATTATTTATTATTTATTTTAGAATGAATTCGAAATCTCACCATGACATTTAGATAAAAATCGAAAAATCCGAAGAAAAATCGCCAAATCCAAAGTGCCCCCCCCCTATACTACACTTGAACCGAATTATTTTTTAGATTAATTCTGAAAAAGGTACAAAATAATTGTTAAGGTTGAATCCTATTTTAGTCCATCTCGGGATCTTAAAGTTTTAAGGGTACATACATATTATCGCAACATCGCCTACGTTCAAGATAATTCACCAAATTGGCAACCCAATTTCATATGTGTTGTATGCGCTGAATTGGCAGTCATGCGCTTTGTTCCAAAAATGTCGCCAATACCTAGCAATAATACGTAAGTACCATTTATTGTTTTGTAACATGCGCGGGGACGGTTATCCACTGGTTGGCTGCATATCTCGGTATTTGGCAACGTCTTTTGATTTGAAGAACTGGTCCACGGTATAATACGTATCTAAAATCTACGTGATATATCAAAGTATCAAAAAAATGAACCAAAAAGGTCTGAAAAATAACACCGAGGCGTGACGCAAAATATCAGCCAAAAAATCCAACGTGGTTTTGAATATGCATGGTGTGGTTTTAACGGAAAAATATTAACGTTTTTCCGCAAAAAGTAATATTTATATAGAGAACTAATTTGATGTATCAATACTCAATAGATTCTTTCCCCGTCATATAATTATAAAATTGTATCAAATAGGGGGGTAACATTACAATGCGATAACATTAGACTGCCGACCAAAGATCTAGTTCTCTCAAATTCAAAAAAACGCCAAAAACCCAATATCAAATTAGTTTAATGAATAATTTACTTATAAGTATCAAAAAAATTAATTTGAATTTACTGTTAAAGGAACAGCTGGAATCTCAGCATAGTTCACATCTATGGGGACAGAGAAAAAAAAGGGTGCCACATTGGGCAAGTAATTTGTTTTTCTGTGACGAACTTATGTACAATATAGCGACAATAATTTGCCAGTTGGATATAAATAAACAAAGAAAATTTGGTACTTACGTATTATCGCAACAATCGCCAACTCTATTAATAACTCGCCAAGTTGACAACCCATATTTCCTATGTATCGTATGCAATGAATTGGCAAACAGGTGTTTCGTTTCATACAATGTCGCCAATAGGTTGCGATAATACGTAAGTTCCGGAATTTTTTATGTTGTTTTCGGAAAATAATTTCGGTATTTGCGTATTATATTCGCTAAACGATAACGTAAGTTTACTAGCAATAAGCTCATGCTTCAGACCTTTGCCTACTTTTTATTTTCCAAGAAACTTTGAAAAAAAAGTAAAATAAGTAAAAAACGTAGCATGAAATAAAAGTCCAGAAACAAAAAATAACAAGAATTGAAAAAAATTAAATGTTGGAGGTTTGTTCTTTATTTAAGAAGTTTTTTTTTAAAATAAACCCGTCTTAAAAATCCCTGCGTTTACCAGTAATGAACTCATTTTTTAAAATTTATTCCATGCAAAGCTTCTAAAGAATGATTTTAGTGACCAAAGTTACATTTGTTATTATTTAATTTTAAGGTATATTCGCCGCATTATCTACACCCCCTTTTTTTACGAAGAAACCTGAAATGCATGTGCGCAATGCTCTTATGTTTTGAAGCCATTTATTCGAGGTATTATTCCAAGCTTTAGAAGAAAAAAATAGTATACTTCTTGAAACGCAACATTTTAGTTCAGAAGGAATGTCATTTCTTTTAAATAAACAATATTTCGATATATATAGAAGTCTAACTTCTTTTCTATGCTCATCTTTTTTTTTTTTTTTTTGTTTATTTTTAAGAGGAGTTGGTAACCTCTCTTTGCATGTATACTGACAATGTTAAATTGGCTGTTTTCGATGTGCCTTTTCTCAAAATATGTTATATGA